CATCTATTGAGATGATCATGTGATTTTTATTCTTCATTTTATTAATGTGGTATATCACATTGATTGATTTGCTGATGTTGAACCATCCCCGCATCCCTGGGATAAATCCCACCTGATCGTGGTGTATGATCTTTTTAATGTGTTGTTGTGTTCGATTTGCTAGTATTTTTGCATCCATGTTCATCAGTGATATTGGCCTGTAATTTTCTTTTTTTGTGTTGTCCTTGTCTGGTTTTGGTATCAGGGTAATGTTGGCTTCACTGAATGAGTTAGGAAGCTTCCCCTCTTCTTCAATTTGTTGGAAGAGTTTGAGAGAATAGGTATTAAGTCTTCTTTGAATGTTTGGTAGAATTCACCAGGGAAGCCATCTGGTCCTGGACTTTTATTTTTTGGGAGGTTTTTGAATATGGTTTCAATGTCCTTACTGGTGATTGGTCTATTCAAATTTTCTGTTTCTTCTTGATTCAGTTTTGGAAGGTTGTATGATTCTAAAAATTTATCCATTTCTTCTAGATCATCCAATTTGTTGGTGTATAGCTTTTCGTAGTATTCTCTTATAATCTTTTGTATTTCTGAGGTGTCCATTGTAATTTCTCCTCTTTCATTTCTGATTTTATTTATTTGAGCCTTGTCTCTTTTTTTCCTGGTGAGTCTAGCTAAAGGTTTGTCCATTTTGTTTATCTTTTCAAAGAACCAGCTCTTGCTTTCATTGATTTTTTTCTGTTGTTGTTTTAGTTGAAGAGTCTCTGTTTACTTGTCTGCTCTGCTGTTTATTTCTGCCCTAGGTTGTTTTTGAAAGGTGTGATGAAGGGGCAGGGTATGGTGGGGGCAAACTGGAGGTTTGCCTTGGGATGTGGGGACCCTAGCCTCTCCTGGGGTTCAATAACTGCCAGGTCCCCCAGCTCCAGTCCCCATAATCATTGCTCTATTCTGTGTGCAGATGCCTCGCAATGCGGCTTCACACAAGGGCGTGTTGATTGGAGGGGGTTTGGTGAGGGGCCAGTGGCTGAAATGTTCCAAATCTGATTCCTCAGAATGGGCTTCATCTGACCACCTGCACCAGAATCACATGAGGAATGCTTTAAAAATGCACATTGCTCGGAGCCACCTCACATCCAAATGTAAAGTCAGAATATCTGGGGGGATGGAGCCCAGAAACTGATCCTGGGATTGAGTCTGTGGGGGAGCTAATGCTGTAATACACAGTTTCAGTAAGCTCCCCAGGATTATTCTGCAGATTGGTGCTTGAGAGCCACTGTTCTGATGATGTGCCAGATGTCACTCCCTTCTCTTTGTGTTAACTGATTCCAAGTGAGGTCCTGCCTGTTGCACGCCCACCACACAACTGGTTTCCCTCTAGTTTACTGCTCTGTAGAGTTCATGCTTTTCATTATCCTTCCTGTGTATTCTCTTTCAGGAATTCCTAAAAATTTCTCACCATCTATAGCAGTCTTTCTTATTTAGTTCATCTTATTTATCTATGTTTATCTTGATATATATATGAAAGTAATATATATATAATACATATAACATATATATGAAAGTAATAAAAGTATATTTCTAAGCTATATATATATTTAAAAGCAATAAAGTTGCATTTCATAACATCCATATTTTTTATTACTTCTCTAAATTAATCTAGATATTATATACAAATAAAATTTGTAGGGATGCAGGCCCGGTGGTGTAGTGGTTAAGTTCGCACACTCCCCTACGGCGCCCCAGGGTTCGCAGGTTCGGATCCTGGGCATGGACCTATGCACCGCTTATCAAGCAATGCTGTGGTGGTGTCGCATATACAAAAATAGACAAGTATAGGCACAGATGTTAGCTCTGCAAAAAGAGGAAGATTTGCAACGGATGTTAGCTCAGGGCCTATCTTCCTCACCTAAAAGAAAAAATTCGTAGAACATTTCATCATCAACTTTTCAGAGCATCATTAACATTCTACCTGTTCAACAAACATTACTGGTTACCTTCTAGACATGCACTACAGCTTTCCTCCTGGCTCAGAGCCCCATTACCACCTGTTCTTAGGATCAATCCTGCTTGGTCTGAGCTAGTTGTGGTGTCCTGTTCTCCTTGCCAGTGATTCATTCGGGAAGCGACATGTAAAGAGTTCTAGGCAAAGAGATGTAAGGATAGGGCCCTTTGGTGGCTTCTGGGAAGCTTTTTTTCTCACTTCTAAGGAGACACCAGGAAAACAGGCCCTTCCCGCCTCAGGGGTGGTTACATTTGGATGTGGTACCTGGAACTGCAGCCAACTCGTGATCACAGGGGACTGAGCCCTGGGGTGAAGCCAGTGCTCAGGGCAGCAGGATGAAGACAGAAAGAACGTCAAGATTCTTGGTGATGTTTTGAGCCGCTGGATCGCCTCACCTGAAACCACTCTACCTCTGTTACCGCATCAAAGCATCCTGATAAAATCTGACAAAATCTCTGTCTTCAAATACATAACAAGTTCCTATAAACTTTGCAAAATATTTTCCTATAAACTTTAAGGAAACAAGAAGGTCAAGTTTATCCATTTAAAAACTGCTTCTCCCCCTTGAGTAAAAATCCACAAAATTTATATCTAAGCATTTAAAAATCTTTGAACAGAAGAATTATCTTAAGTTGGATAGGTGAAACTAATTCCCACCCCCAGCCCCACAAAGGGTGCGCGTTAAAAATGTAAAGAAACCTGATTTCATAGCACCTTCCAATATCTGGAAGTTCAAAAATGTTTGGGTATGTATAGTAAATCTCCAATTTATTAACAAATTTTATGTCAAAATTTTTGAGTGATTTATTTTGACTTCAAACTTAATTTATAATGAAACAATGGTCAAGTAGCAAATTTGGTTTTAACCTATAAATAAAATAGTACTTACATACTACTGGGCACCTCCTGAGGTCCGGGGTGAGCAGTGCAGCCTCTGACCCAAAGGCCCGCCCTACTGCACTTCGTCCTGGCAGTGCGGGGGCTAGACGGAGTAGTGGTGGACGGGCTAGGTGCAGGCAGCAGAGGGAAAGGTCTCCAGCAGTTGCGGCCATTTAGTGGCTCTATCCTTCATAAGTAACACTTTCTAAAAATGGGTACTCTGCCCGTTTTCTAATTTTAAGAAGTCCTTACATAGGCAGAAAGCACCAGCTTCGGCGTTCCTGCAGTTGTATGGTGACCTCCTCCAGGCAATTCAGCCGGTGGACTTGAGTGAGCTGGTTTATTCTCCCTCCAGCTCAGGTCTCCTCTGACTCTTACCATTCCTCAGCACTTATATTGTAAATTCTGTTACAATGTAATCAACAAAAATACCACAGAGCATGTGTCAACACTAAATGGGCAGCCTCCTTGTATGTACAGAGGATTCTGTGCAAACTTATTCAGTAAAAATCAGTTCATGTCACAGCCAGTGAGCTTTGCTCCTTTCCCTCAGTGTGCTTATTTCTGCATTTAGCTTCTCCCCTAACCTTCCAGGACTCCACTCTACATGCCGAGTCTTGGCGTGTCCACAAACTCCCTTTTAGCTGAGTCGAGGGTCAGCCCCACCTCCCAGTCCCGGACTGCCTTCTTTACTTCTTGAGCTCCAAGAAGCCAAAGTCACGTGGTAGCTGTGGTTGATTAGGCTGCTCTCCATATGAGACATCTGTACGGCCAAAGCCCTCCTTGATGTTACGAGAGGGTGGGGAACAATGATCTTTTTTTTTAATTTTTTTATTTTTTGCTGAGGAAGACTGGCCCTGAGCTAACATCTGTTGCCAATCTTCCTCTTTTTCTGCTTGAGGAAGATTAGCCCTGAGCTAACATCTGTGCCAATCTCCATCTCTTTTTACGTGGGTTGGTGCCACAGCATGGCTGATGAGTGGTGTAGGTCCGCACCCAGGATCTGAACCCATGAACCTGGGCCACCAAAGGGGAGTGTGCCAGACTTAACCATTACGCCATGGGGCCAGCCCCACAATGATTTTTTTCTGGTAATCACCATTTTGTTTCACTTTTTCACATTTCTTCTGACCCAGAAAGTTGATTCCTGGGCCCAGTGAGTCATCCAAGGACCCCCTCTCCACTTTCCACTTATTCCTTCAACCCCAGCCATCATACCCAGACAGTTGAACTAATCTCTTTACTATACTATTAACCACAGTGTTATACAGCATGAATATTTGGTTTTTCTTGTTTTTAAAAAACAAATTATTTTGCTACAAACAATCCAAGTGTACATTAATTTGATAGGGAATTTTTGGAACTTGTTCTTCCTTGTGTTATTAAGAATTTTATTAAATATATTGTTCTTAGGAGTAGTCCATGGTCAACACAACATTTGGTTGCTAAGCATTCTAAATATTTATATTTCTAATGAGGTTCATCCTTCTAAAATATAGGAACTGAAAACCAGAGCTACTAGATTATACACCACAGAGTAAAAGAATTTACTTGCTTTTTAAAGTTATATAAATTCTATTTTAGTGCAATAATTATACATGTACTATATTTATACTGTAAAGTAATTTTTTAAATTTCCGAAATAAATTATTTTTAAAAGAAATAATGCTCTGGACATTTTATAAGGGGACTTTCCTATCATTTGTTTTCCAGTATCTTCTTTCTCACTTACAAAGCATAATTGCTCCACCATTTTAAAGATACTGAACTATCTTTCTGAACCATCTTTCTGAATCTAAAATTGTAATTTTAAGAAACGACTTCGATGTTGTTTCTTCTGGACAAATAATAAAAACAATAAGAGAAGAAGTTCACAGAATATTTCACATCAAGTTACACATTTGAACAACCAGGGAAAGCTTTAATACATGGACAGATAAGTTTCTTACTGAGGGAAAGAAACATTTCATGTATTTTAAAATACTTACAAGTCCTTCAATATACAATCTAGGCCAGAAAAGCAGCCGAGAAAAGCAGCAGAGACCTTAGCCACACCACTGAGTCATCGCCCTAGAGTTACAGAGAACACAGGGGTCTTTCTAAATTCTTACAGGATGGTTAATGTCCCCGTTCTTACATGAGCTTTTCTTTACAGTTGTCCATCTCGGTCACTGCCTTCTGAAGCTTTAGCCCAAGTGCCTCTACTTGACGTTGTAAATCTGAAATGACAGAATATATTCATCTGATTAGACATTTTAAGTGTCCAGATATTTTCTATAGAGTAAACCACATTCTTTTAGAGTTGCTGTTTATTCCACTTTGCCTGGATGACCATACGAAGCTTGTCCCTACTCTGAAACCCCACGGAATTAATGGGTTTTAGCAGACTCAATATATTGGCCTCTTTCTGCCAGCAACATCACGCTAATTTTCAAACAGCTAATAGGTTAAAGTTTACCAGTGTTTTCAAAGGAAATTTATGTAGCCAACGGACATGAGAATTTCTGATCATGTGGCTCCCTTCTGAAACACTTGACTGCCTGAGTTAGCTCTTGTGGCCTGGAACTGAGAGGCATTGCTGAGCCTCCTGGTAGAACTGACATAGACAAATCACATGCAAGGCTCCTGGTAAAGAATCTGTTAACTCTGGGTAGCATCTAATAGGCATTTTCGTGACTTTCAAAGCCAAGAAAATACAAGCAGGAAATTGGCTTCCGTAGAGTCTTGAACTGGGGAACTCAAGCAGTGTTTGAGAAAGATTATTTAAGCAGCCGTGTCTAACATGTGTGTGGGTGCAGAATTGGAACTAAAGCAGAAAGAACAAGTGGTTTGAGTGATCTGAGTGGTGCCAGTAGCCTGTGTGTGGGACCTGCGATCTGAACCCAGCCCCAGTGACAGCCCTTGCTGGCACTCTTTTTGGAAATAACGTGGAAAACAAACTTACACAGATGCACTAATTGGTTTCCATGGAGAAAATAATTTAAAACACTGGAATTATAAAATTTCTATGTTACATCTGCTTAGGCGCTTTAATAACATATTTTTAATAGTAAACTTCAAAATCTTCATTCATCCATACAAATACATAACATTTCTATATATACCTTCAATCTGCCTTCTTAACTTTCTTTTAGGAAGAAGAACCAGTTCTTTAAATCAGAAAATAAATTCTCTCTAAACAAATGTTTTAATTAGAATTTACCAGATATTGGTAAATTCCTCAAACTGCCATGTAGGTGAAAATAGCCCCATTTTTCAGAAGAAGAAAAAATGAGATCCTCTCTGATTCTCTTGCCTGGTATCTCACAATGGGTAAATAAATGCATTAGCCAGTGGTCAAACTGACTGAAGGTTTTAAACTCGGCTGAGGGAATCAATTTGAGAGGATGGCCCGTCGAAATAAGATTCAGTATGGACTTACTTGATAGATAATATTTGTGGGGTACACCTTTTTATCAAGTGATATTATTATATGAGAGAAAAGATAAAATAACATACACATAGAGAATTTATTTTTGAGTATAACCTTTTGAAACAAGGCAATCTCTTATGAATGCTGTGTACTGTGTTGCTCTGTTATTAAGTTCGTGTGGGCTTGCAGAGGGGTTTTATTCACGCAGGCACAGCTAAAACGTTTCCACCCACGCTCTGAAGAACATGGCGGGAAGGAAGCTGATGTCTGACAATGGTCTAGTCATCAAACTAGCCTGTCTAGGCACTGTGCAGAGTGCCTTCTCCTATATCATTTCATTCATATTCACAACTACCATAAAAAACATACACATTTTATTTTTACCAGTGAAGACTCTAAGGGTCAGCGTAATTAACTAACTTCAAAGGTCACATAGCTAGTTAGAAGTGATCCCACGATTCAAATCCAGGTTGGCCTCTTCCCAAAGTCCTATCTTTCTAACTCTCTTACAGTGACTCTCAAAACATCAAAGCTCAAGGGATATGATATTTGTCCATGGAAGTGTGGTTAGTGTGCCTATAGAGCTGTTTAGCAAATTCCAGAAGCTTTAAAGAGGTATACTTAAGACAAATGAAAAGTATTATTTTACATAAAATATGTAGTAAATTAGTGGGGTTTCTAACTCCAAGAGGTGGTTTAGATTTTAATTTTTTAAAGTTTAAAAATTAATATATTTTAATTAATGAAAGACATTAAGACAAATTTGGTATCATTGTGACCAACTTTATGAGACTGACATGAAAGAGAACAATTATGCCTTCCTATTAAATGTCCCTTGGTGCTCTTGTCAGGATATAATCTTTAACTAGATGAAGCATGGGTCTGAGCCCATGTGATAAATTTTATGTTATTACTTCTAAATGCAGATATTGTTAAGAGGAAGAATTGATTATCTTAAAAATAAACTCCAAAGAATTCCTACTTGGAATGTGAATTTTATGCAATTAATTCTCAATTACCTGATAATTAGGAGAATAGTAGACAGTAAAGATGGCAGCTAATTCAAAACCCATTTTTATGGCATTGAAATGTATTCTTAGACTCACATTTGAATATACTTGTGCATCATAGTTCCAGAATTTACTAGATGTAAAGGAAAATAAACTACACAATCATGACCCAACTCCAGAAAGGAAAAGCTGTTATATTTTCCAGTATTCTTCTCTCTACATACCCACCGAGATCTCCCTTTCTCCCTGTTTCAAGATAAGTAGATAACTCAATCTTTAATTCACAGTACTCAATGCGTAGAGAAGCCACTTCCTTCAGATTATTCGCTATGTATTTACAGCATCTCCGAGCAAAAACAGGGAAAGCAAATAAATGTTTTACTTTAAAATGTAGAAATCTCTGAAGGCTGTCGTGAGGTGTAAATAGAAACAGGAAATACAAGTAATGTCAACAAAGAAATCATTTTATATAAGCAGAGAAGATACCACATAGAATAGAGAAAAAAAGATTCATTATGAATAATTCATAAGGTAAACAGCCCACCAGTGTATAATTAGGAGTTGATTAATATATTTTCATGGCTGTTTTTTTTACTTTGGGTTATACTTTCTCTAATAGAGAAGTGCTAAGAATTATTTAAAATACATAGGACACATCTTTACTGTTCTGAATGAGGCGTAAACATCCTATTGGTTTATTATTGGTTCTGGTAGACTAGTAGGGTCCTTTTGTTTTTGGAAGCAGAGTGCCCAGTTCCCGTCCTTAATAAATAAAGGAACACAGTTGGGATAAGCAGCAGAGAGATTAAGCCATCTGCATAAGACAGCTCCTTCAGTTCCTGAGGCAAGGAGTTCTTAAATAAGTGTATTGTTCTGTGCAGTCCTTCTCTACAGTTAAATAAATTCAACTTCAATTTTCTGTCGTTCAGCATAACATTGGATTATGAGGCAAAAGGCCCTGTATGTCTATGAAAAGAAAGGAAGCATTGGCTTTAAACACCATGCAGATGTAAGGCGGAACCCATGGAAACAATCCAAAATTTACAACAGCAAATTCTACTATGATGTGACTGTGTTCTTTGCAGATATTAAATAAGAAGCAAATGACTTTAAATGAACAAGACAAAAAAGAGCTCTTAGCCTCTCTTCACACAAAGCCAGCTGCTTTGCTGGATAGCATTACACAGGCATCAGAAGCGGGGTAATTAGTCATTTAGGAGAATCCTGTTATTCCAAAAGGTCTCTAGAAGCTACAAATATAAAAGGTATTCATAGTTAGCTATTTTATAGAAGGATATAAAACTTTACAGTCACTTGAAGGGTATATTAAGTTAGTATAATGTTTGAGAAAACAATAAATAAAAGCTTTATTGTGGAAAGACATTTCAAGCTTAAAACTTTCTGACTAAAAAACACCAAAACAATTAAAAATTTTGTTCAAAGTGCTCTATGGAGGAAAATGATTCCAGGTTCAAGAAGCAGAATGGAATAACAAGCAAGAGATTTGGCCCCCAGAGATCGAGATCCAGAGGAATTTTTTTTTTAAATGAGAAGTTGAAGGCTGTATATATTTTTTAAGTGATAGAGATAATTGAAGAGAAGGAAAAACAAAAGCTCACCACTCTTTAAACACACTCCCAAGACAAGATAACATGGAGGGGTGGTGCATGAACTCTAAGGCTGGCCTGCCTAATTCCAAATTCTGGCTCTGCTTCCCACGGCTGCGGGACTTCAGGCATTTTAGTTTCCTTATCTATTAAGTGGTTACCACAGCACAGGATTGTTCTGAGAATTAAGTGACTTAGCATATGTAAAGAGGAGAACAGCGCCAGGCGCACAGTGAGCACTGCGGAACCAGGAGCTACTATCATGGGTGGTGCAGTGAGGCCTCCAGCTTCTGGTCTGAACCTCATCACTTCGCACCTCGAGGACCTTGTTCTTGCAGTGGGGCCTGCTGTCACCAGTGGTTATCTTTGTATAGGGGAGAATAAAAATGAAGGTTTTAACTGTGTATATTTCTTTAACAATCTACAGAGTAACTATAGCAAAACGTTAAAACTTATTAAATATGAGTGATGGGTTCATACACATTTGTTATTGATTCTCTGTATTTTTCTGTGTTTGATATATTTCATAGATACATTGTTTAGAGAGGGGTCCATGTTGGGTACTAACCAGTCTAATCAACTCAGTTCTGTGTGTCCAAGGTACAAAAGGAAACAATGAGAAGAGAACTTGGTTGGGGTGGGGGATGAGGTTAAAAATGTAATTAAAGACAACTCTTTTGATTCTTTGAAAAGAGAGCAGAGAGACCCAGTTGTTGCTGGAGGGCGATATGGTAACAAGCACTGCTGTTGATTTTGTTTTTGTTTTAAGCTATTGCATTTGGGAATGATCCATTCTAGAGGGTCCCCATGCTTGTGAATTTAATGTATGCCTTCTAACCTGGTTCTTACAAGTGAAAAAACAGTACTTCTGGCAGGTGTTTTAAAAAACTACATAAATGTTGGTAAGCTATAAATCTCATTTGAATTCTTACTTTTCTCACTACAGATTATCTTTTTGAGACCTATCTATGTAGCTATATATAGGTATGATTCATTCCTTTCTGACTGCTATATAATATTTAATCATGTGCACACACCACATTTTACTGATCTAGTCTTATAGTGATGGAACCTAGGTTGAGTTCAACTTTGTGTCACCACAAATAATCCTGCAATAAAATCTTTTTACCCATTGCCTTGAGTACTGAGAGGGGTGTTTTTCTGCAGTGTGGCCCCAGAGCAAACTCATG